CAACTGTGCCTGGCTATTGTTTCATTCTTTTTAAAGAAAATATCTGCCAAATATTCATGTCTTAAAAAATTGGTAGTGTGTTATGTAAAAGTGATCTTTCATGATAAAGTGGTTAGTTTAGTTTGCTCCTCAGATAGTTGCACATTGGTTTCTTTTAAGGCAACAACACAACCTCCAGTGTACTGTACAAGTACTTTATAACGCCTTCCATTTCATCACACACAATTTAAAAAAGGCATATACTCATGTTTACATGTACATATAAAAAGACATGATTAGAGACTCAGGAACAATCAGAAAAAATGATAGAGTAATGACCTCTCAGATTCTCTCCTCTATAAAAGCAAAAAGGAAACTGGCAAAAATTTCCACCAAGTTTTTCAGAATTATGAACATTAACAGAATGCTTGAAACAATTTGAGGAGCATTTATTTAATAAAAAGTTGAATTTTGGTAAGAGTAGTAAGCTTTGTAGAGTTTAACTTGCCGAATTCTCAAGCCCATCTTTCCAGCTCGGCAGTAGCCCTGAAAATTGTTAAAGTTTAGGGAGACCAGTGTTTTGGACCAGCCTTTTGAACTAAGCCCCAAAGGACTGGAACAAACCAGAATGGAATCTATGATAAGTGCCATGTATAATCAAATTAAATTTTGAAATGGGCCAGTTTTCCACAAAATAGGAGATTCTAGTCATCTTGAGTTAGTGTAGTAAGGAATTCCTCTATTAACCTTATAAAGAAAGTAACTTTAAAATGATGAATCCCTGTTTGTTCTGTTTCTGCTTTTTTCAGCCCTTTCTGCCTGGCAAGCCAACTTCTTTTAGTTGGTTCATCAGAATAATCAATCTACTTTATAGAATAAGGTGTTGTTCAATTCTAGAATCACAAATAAGCGCCAGATCTTTAAACTAAATTTGTTGTAATTATGAATTTTGACAAAATTAATAGTCTTTGATCACAGTGAAAACCAAGTAGAGAATGGGACTGGAGCTGTTTTAAAGCTTCATTTCCAGAAAACTGTTATTATTTAAGCTTTCTGGTGGTTCCCTTGAAGGCACCACTTGCAAGGTTGTCTTTATTTTAATTGACTTAAAAATCATACAATGCACAACTATTTCCTCAGGAGCATTTTTTCAACATTTAGACAATTGTCTAACTCTGTAGTTGTCTAAACCTGTAGAAAACAGGTAGAACAAACAATAGGTTAACCAAAAGTTTACAAAGAAAAGCTGGGGAATGAAATATCCACAGAGACTTTGGAAAGTTCTGACAAATGTCTGAAAATCTAAAAATTCATGTAAATGCAAAGACAAGAACTACAAAGGCCTTAAGCTCTATCTTCTGGCTGACACTGAGGCTCTACGACAGCAGGAAGTGAAAG